ATATATGTAATATTAAAATTTTGGGTGTTAGATATGTAAATAGGATGGTATAAATTGGTATGTATGTAAATTTCTCTTAATATTAATAGTATGACAATGATAGTTGAATGGTGGTGGTCGAATGATAGTGGACGAATGAAGATATTTCGATAATCGTGGTTAAATAATGACGTTTCAAAGGCGAGGTCTCTCCAATTTCAAGTCAAGGCCAAAGTTTCAGCTCTCCCAGTTGTTCCCCCATCCATGTAGAAAGTAGGGGTTTATTTTATTTTTTGTGAGTGACATTCATCAAAAATATAGTTGAAATCCAAAATACTCCATCGAATGGCTCTTATTGATCCTCTTGATCATAAATCATTCTTTCAATATTTTGGCGTCTAAATGATAGTGGAATTAAACTATATTAGAGTTGTTTGATTCGTCTAGTCAAGACATTTAATTTTTACCATAAGCATGCAAAGTTTGGAGACCGTTTGATCACCCAATTAATATCTTAAAGTTACAAATATGCTCAAAAATAGCTTGATTTGTGCTCATTTGAAGATGAATATGATAACTTTTTCTGTCGATGGCTTTGAAACATTTGATTGTAAATTTGTTAAAATTGGAATTCTTATGATCACAAATATCATTTTCTAAGTTTTTCATTTGAATGAACATTAGATATTTATTCTTAATTAAATGAATCTTCTAATGACATATTAAGAGTGTTATTTAAAATGAATTTTGACTCTCTCTTTTTTTTTTCCTTACTTTAAAGATCGGGACATCGTGTAAATACTACTTAATGCAAGTTCAATAACAATTTATTATTATGTGTCAACATTTCTAATTGAATATACTTAAATATTTAGTGAAACATGACATATAACAAAACATATATTTAAAATAAATAGTCTTATTTATTTATGTTATTGGAATTATTTGCTTAATATAAGTAACTATATAAGAGTATTATAAACATTTTGTTTTCATTGGAGCAATTTGTATGCATCATAATACACAACTTAAATAAGATAAAAAATTAGTACTTATTAAAAGTATATAACTTCCAAAATCTTTGAAAATTTTGTTTTCTAGCCTCAATCACATCTAACATACGATCCACAATAAATGGAAAAAAAAAATATTATTCTTATAAATGATATTTTTTAATTAAATTTAAATAAAAATTTGATTTATTTGAAGAATATATAGTGTTATAAAGGCTTGTTGTTGTTGAGATTATTACAATTCTCTGATATCATTTGCAGTTCTAATATCAATGCAAATCTAATGGATATGAAGCTCTTTACATAATCTTTTCGCAAATAAATAGCATAAGAAATTACTAAAAAATCAAATTGGGATTCGATATTTAAACAAGAGTGCGTCAAAGAGTTCTCAATGATGTGAGACAAAGTCAATGAAGCTATAGTTAAGTTATTTTTTGTGCTAAATGTTAAAAAATACTATTAAAAATAATTAAAAAGAGAGAGAGGTGACATATTTCATTGTATCGTAGATGGCTGAAACAAGATCAATTAAATAAAATAATAATAATAATAATAATAAATGAAAAAAATAATAATTTTTATGTGAGACAATGTGTTTAATTCTTACACATTTCGTTAAGCCACCTACCACCATGAAATACAACTTTGTCTGATTACAGTTTTGACTCAGGCAATTTGCATAAATAAATAAATAATAATAATTAAGAGGTCAAAAGTTCTGAAATAGTTATTCAAAGTCAACACTTCCCAAAAATGCTTACACAAAAAGGAAAAACATTAATTAAACAGGTTGCTAGTCGATCAGATTTGATTCAATTTTGTGACCCATTTATAAAACGGGTTGGATCCAAATTGATTGAATTCAGGTCGGGTCAACTTTGAGTTGGACACAAATGTGACCTGTTGACCCGTTTTGATATTCCTAGCAAACAGAAACATGACATAGTAGTTGAGAGCCTTTCTCCCTGCCGTGAGATCCGATCTTAAGAGCACAATAACTCACTAATTAACTTTATTTATTTGATATTACGATTAAATTTGCTTAACATCCTCAAGAGAATTCTTATGAAAATTCATCATATGTGCTTATTAATTGTCTATATTAATTTAAAAATATGTAGATGATGAAGAAACTCCACAAGTTTGACCAATAAAATATAATCATCGTTCATACATGCCCTTTACGTAAATTCTTTTATTAATGAATGTCTTGTTTTCATAATTTGTGGTGGCCGCTTGACTTTATTCTATACCAAATTTAGGATCGATTTGAGACGGCATCAACAACTTTTTGTAGAGATGATTGTAAAGTTATTATGAAGAAAGTAATTTTTTTTAATGCTTTAAAAAATAACTTTATAAAATAACTTTATAGTATCAACATTTCTTAAAAATCAACAAGAAAATAGTAGTCAAACAGAATTGTAATTGCGATTTGAAAAATAAAACAGTAAGAAATTCTCTCAAATAGACACTTAACGGAGGATGTTGATGCTTCTTAGGATTACTTAGAGGCTGTTTGATTGTCTAAAAAAAAAATGTAGTGTAAAAAGAATACAATATAAAAGAAATGCTTTTGAGTTATTTGAATGAGTGTAAAAAAAAATGTATGACTTAACTTATTTTGTTTGATTTGAAGTAAAGTGAATGCAGTGTAATGTGTACATACAAAGGTTGTGTCTGGGGTGGCTGGCAATGGTCGAAGGTAGCGGCTGTTGGCTGCGGCGACTGTGTGCGGCATTGGCAACCATGGACGGCGGTTGGCAGTGCTGGCTATCGACCGAGGTTGGATGGTGGTGGGTGGAAGGTGTAGAGACGATGGTTATCAGCGATCATCAAGCAAGCTTTGGAGCAGTGTAAACGGTTCTCGCTTAAATCTGAACTGGTGCAGTTTACCTCAAAAATGAACTACAATGCATTTCCTTTACTTTACCTTTGATTTATTTTTCATCCAACCAAAACATCAATTTTTTGAAAAACCCTACATTCACTTTACATTTATCTTACTTCCAACCAAACAACCCTTTAAACTTTTTCTTAGAAATTTGTGGTGGCAACACCAACCCTAAATGAAGACTAATGTGCAAGGCCAAGCCTACAACTACTATTTTAAAAAAAAGGCCTACAACTACAATACATACATGAAGCAAACGGAAATTATAATATTGGTAAGTATGCTCCATCTTTGATAATTCAAGAAGTCCTCAAACATCTGAGGCATGTCTCATCATCTTTAGCGAGGGTATAAGATTAGTCAAATCATATTATATGAGTTGGTTAAATCAAGACTAACGTTAAAGGGATACAAAAAGGCACCAGATAAGATTGCATAAGCGGAGTCAGTAATGGAGTTAGGGGACGTATTTGAGATGGATTTAGAGTTGCCTTGCAATTGGCTTTGTTGTCTCATCAATCAAGAAAGAGATATCTTAAGATACCTTCATAATATCTTATCCAATCCCCCAAACAATAGCTAGTTCACTAATATAGAATATAAAGACTTGATTGCCTTCTGTCCTTTATTTTATTTTTTTATATGTTATGAGTTGTCTCCTGCTTTTATTTCAAGTATATGATGGCCTTTATACATATATTCTAAATGAACATATTCAATGAAGTTCATCTTGCTCTCTTCTTTGATTGACTAAGAGCTTCAAGGCATACATATGAAATAAAAATTGCACAAGATATAAAGTGACAAGTGATAAATTGTGTGAAATAGAATTAAAATTCAAATATTATAAGAGAAAACAATATTAAATATATAAATTGCGTAAAAATATCATATAACATCAAGTTCAATTTCAATTTTCTTTTTCTCAATTATCTACTCATTTGCATTTAATTCCTAATGAAAGTTGAAATAGTTGACAACAACGTACGAATCATATGCATTGTCAATCACTGAGTTGGTATTTATCTGAGTTGTCATCATAACAAATTGGTATATCCCCTGCCTCATTCGGTAGGATCAAATGCCTCCCATTATGCTTCTTTTTAATTTATTTCAACTGTGTTCATCTTTTAGAAATATTTTCACCAACATAAATATGAGATTAATGCTCCAAAATTTTAGGGTTGTGGTGTGCAGCTTTCAAGTGAATGTCGGTGACGGCTACGATGATGTTGGCTGTGGCAAAGGCCACGGGCAGGAAGTAAAGGCAATAGAGAAGAAGTTATTGAGCTCGAATGTGCATGAAGACGTGTTTTATGTTAGTTTTAACAAAAAATGTATACAAATAGGGTGAGATGTAAGCCTCATGCTAGCGAGATGAGGCGTGTCTCAAGTCAGACCTCAACCAAACTGAGGCGCAAGCCTCAGGAAAAAATTAGAGGCGTAAGCCTCGAGACATTTTTTACAAGAATTATGCTGAGGCAGGCTTCAAGGCGAGCCTTATATTGTGCAATTTTAAACAATGATATCAAGATGTATAAGACATTATATATTTGATATCATAAAATATAAATCTACCATAGCTCTCAATGTTTTGGGAATAGAAAGTAAAGAATAGTAAATAGAAGCCAACATTTTACAAGAACGCATACAAAGTGCAAAGAACAAGATGTTTTGGTCTACTCAAATCTCCTAATTCAACCCTAATTTTAAAATTTCTAATTTGTTTAACTTTACCCAAACCCAAGTTTCATAGCTCCCCTCTTTCCAATATCTCACTTCCCACATACTTCCATTCTTAATTTGTTTTTTCAATGCTGCTTCTGTACTGACCAAGCAAAATGATCATTCACCATCTCCCAACCAAAGGAGAAATTATTCCGTACGGAGTCCGAACGCGTCTGGAGGCTAATCCGGACACGCCACGTCACCCAATGCACTATGTATTGTGTAACGTAGCGCATCCGAATTGACATCCTAACACGAATACTGCACATAGTAATTTTTCCAACCAACGAGAGGAACATACACTACTTAGAAATTAAAATATTTTTGTGAACTATGATTGAGATCCATATGGCTCCAAATTCCAAAGTAGCAAATACAAACAATAACAACAAGCACTAGCAATATATGAATCATGACACCAACTGGCAGTATATTATCAACAAACTAAATTGTCAAACTTGATGTGTAACCAGTATTCGTATACTTACCTACAGATTACATCACCAAAAGAAATAAACAAACGAGTGATTATCAAAGAAAAATGAATCTAATAACAAGTATGTTAAGGCAATTGGCAAGCTTCCCCTCACCTTAGTGAGTGAAACTAAGCAAAAATCAAAATTCCCAATCTTCTTTGAAGTAATTTAAATGCTAAACCTCTGCGCACTTCATGGGTGCAAAGCCCAGCCGCGAGTTCTTTGTGTCGTACATTATGTGAAAGTTCTGTTGCTGGTAGTTTCCCAGAATCGATAGCGAAGTCTTGGGAGTTCCAAGGATTGCAAGGCACATAATCGACTCTGGTTCAAGGCGGATGAAGTAATTCTCCATTGGAAAATCCCACACAGCTTCGTCGGAGAAAACAATGGAGAATTCTGGCATCTTTACCTTCTCAACACCTGATACATTGTAGCATGGACTTAATACAGGAAATTCTTCGAACAGCTTGTAGGTTACTTTCTTCTCAATTGCTTTCCTGATTATTCCATATGCCGGCTCGGAGAAGTAGCTTAGGGTGGTGCCTGAATCGATGATTGTTCCTCCGGCACCGTTCTCTAATACATCCCATGTGTCCATTGGGATGTCGAGCATCTCGCCGCCGACTTTTATTCCTTTGATGTGAAGGTAGTAGAAGGTCTCGGCAGGGTTTTCTTTGCCGGTGGTGAAAGAGGTGAAATTGAGCTGTGGGTGGGCGAGGAGGGAAGGGTCCTCGCCGAAGATGAGCTTACTGCTGACGCTTAGGTCGCTGTTGCGGTCAACGAGGCAGTAAGAGAACGCGTGGCCGTAGAGGGAGCGGAGCTGGGAGGCGAAGGAGAGAGGGCCGCGGCCGAGGCCGAGGAGGCCGGCGGCGCCGTGGAACAGACCGCGGTTCCAGTGGCCGCAGCCGAAGATGACGCTTTCGACTTTGCGGCTTGTGGTGCCGCCGATGGTGTCGGTGAGGTTAACGGTGAAGATCTCGGTGGCGAGGTCGCCCGTTGTGTTTGAGTGGTCGCCGTACCAGTAGAAGTAAGGGCAGGAGGAATGGTCTTCGACGGCGGGGCAGGAGGCTGAGAGCTCCGGACGGGAGACGAGGTCGCAGCGAGGGTCGGTACAACTGAGATTGCGGTAGGAAGAGGATGAAGAGGGGTCGTAGATTGGGCCACTCTGTTCAAAGCAGGCGTGACAGGGGAGGCACTGTAACCAATTGAGGTCGCTTCCGGTGTCAAGAATCAGGGAGAAATGCTGCGGCGGGGTGCCGATGAAGACGTCGATGAAATATTCGCCTGAGCCCAACGCGACGCCGGATTCCACCGTCGCAACAAACCGACCCGCGAGAGCCGGCGCCGGTGAGCCCAAGTTGGCCGCTTTGAGCGCGGAAGCAAGGCTGGGAAGGGGGTTCTGGTTCTGTTTGTTGTTCGTACTCTTCTTCTCCGTCGCGCGGCGGAAGAGGGTTTGGATTCGAAGGAAGTCTTTCTGAGTAGAGTCAAAAAGAGCTGCTTCTTTCGTTTTGTCCGACGAGAGGCGGTGATGCTTGAGATCGAGCTTGACTGGTGGGGCGTCGCCCGCGACTGGATATTCCGGTGGATCTCCGTCTCCGGCCAAGCGGTGGTGGCTATGGCAGTTTGAGTCAGCAGCGGAGGCGGCAGAGTTAAAGCTGAGGGGGGTGGGAAATATGATTCCGGCGAGGTTGGAATTGCGAGAGAAGTTGAAGCTAAAGGCTTTGATCGAAGGGAGACAGAGGGCAGAGAATACGAGGAGAAGTAAGAAGATGAATTGCTCGGTACGAGCCATTTACTATAGGTTTTCCTGCATCAAATAGGCGAAAAGGAGAGATCTTCAACAAAGGAAGAGAAGTAGAAAAAACAAATAGAATTAAAAGAGGTGGCTTTTGGCCTGGGAAATCGCAAGAGCTCTTCTTCTGCAGGGAGGGAGACAGAGAGAGCGAGAAGAATGCCGTGGGAGATGTTTAGAGAGAACAAGCTACACGCGGTTCTCAGAAGAACAGAGGGAACGCAGGATTGTAATAGGAAGGACGACCAGCTTACTCGCTTGTGTAAATTAAAATTTCATGCCATGCCCCTACCTTTAATATATTTTTGTAAAAGTTTATAGGGCAACCTTACTTGCCGTTTTCACGTTTTTTTTACACAATATATATATAGCATTATATTGATTCTTTCATGACTTCTGCATGAGATCGTAAATTCATCCACCTGATAAAAAATGAATTTTAATATAATTTACGGATCTTAAAGCACTAAAAAGATGAACTGGCATTTTTTATTTTGTTTATAGAAAATAATTTTTGTTAACTTCAAGTTAATAATACATTATATCGTGGGATTATCCCTCCTTTTAAGTGAATTTAAGGTGGTCGACGATGGATGGATGGAAGTCAGACGGTGGTCGGAAAAATGATATTGATCCCTTTGATCATTGACCGTTTATAGGGCTTTTGAATGACTTAATGATATCATAATTTGGTTATCTTGGGCTCATTGGATTCATCTCGTCGAGCCACTTGATTCGACTATAAGAATGTCACGTTTATAATTCATTTTGTAATCCAAATTATGGTTTGAAACTTTCAAAAGTGCTTTGAGTCTTCGATTTGGACCCATTTGGACTCAGATTGAGACAAATTTGGTGTTGTTTTGTTCGTCTTTCTTTGACGTTCGGTTCGACTATACGTTTGCTGAAATCGGAGTTTGGATGGTCCCCGATTTAATTTTGAAAGCTTTTAACTCAATTTTGCTTCAAGATTCGTGCTGGATCAAGACTATTTTTGATGACGTATCAATTACTATGCAATATTTTTAGTTTTTGAGATATAAAATTAATTATAATGTGTTTATATGTGTTATATTTTTAATAACATGTGTGTCTCGTGTTGGTATTATTTGATTTATGTATTGGTGCATCATAATTGTTGATTTAGCATTATTTCCAATATAAATTTCGTTTTTTTTTTTTTGAAAAGTTTTGAATTTTGATACTCATTTAATATATTAATTAAAGAGTTGATTATATCCCTAAATAATTGATTTGATTGGAATTTAATTGATGCATAAATTCGGAATTTTTTCCTATTTTGTCTTCCTAAATCTTCATAAATTGAGATTTAAGGACTGCATCGGAGTAAGAGACAAAGTTTGAGAGCTATTGTAATTCTCTATTATTCTTCAATATACTGAAATCATCCCCTCTCCGTGGACATAGGCATCTTCGCCGAACCACATAAATCAACGTGTTTATTGTGTTTGCATTGTGTGATTTTATTTCTGTTGTGTTTATTACGCAATAGTGAATTAGTGAGCAAATATATGGTGCTTAACTCATACTCAAATTTTATTTGACATTTTCATACACATATGGTATTATTATATAGAATTCACTTTACAAGTACCTACCTTAAAAATTTTCTTATAAAACTTCCCAAACTTATATGAATCTTATGTCGCAATCAAAAATGTGTAAGCTATAATATTAAATACATATGATGGAAGCAAGGAATCTAATAGCTAAAATAATGTATGGAAGCTAAGAATATGTGAATAAGAGTCACAAACTAAATAAACAATAAAATGTGTATGCTTAGCATAATATAAATCATCCCACTCTTTAATATTTGACAATATGTATGTATATAGTCTCTTATGCAATGCTAATAGTGACACAACATAAAATAACTGTAGTGCATAAGAGATTAAAGTAGACAAGTAGGTGAATTACTACTAAATAAAATACTAATTAATGATTACTTCAACATTATAAATTTAATTAACTCTTTAAACCAATAGTTAAATAATGCAAAATAATTTATTATAATAACTATATGCACAAATATATGTGACAAATGGTATATAACAAAAGATGTTATAAGACAAGTGATTAATCTTAAGCACAATACGAATATCATGATGATCAATTTGGGTGCCATTGAGTCACTTTAAATTGAGACTTTATGGTTGCAATCAAAGATTTGTAATATTTGGATTGATCTATGAACAATTTATCACAATAAAGACTTCTGAAGTTTAATATTGTTGTGTCTTGGAATATTCACGGCGGTAGATAGTGATATAGTTTAGCGTCTTAGTTTTGTACGAAGATCCAAAACACAAATATATAAAAGAGTATGATTATAGCGTTTATAAGAGACACCAGATTTTTTATACCCTTGAAAAAGGAGAAAACCCATAGTGTCTTGCCCAATTTGAATGAATTTACTAGTTTTTGCAGTTTATTATAAATGAGGACCTTCCTCAAGAGGAAGGTCTTGGCTCGATAAAGCAAATATACATCATATATTGTGCATTATATGGTGGGAGTTGGAAGAATCAATATTGATATGTCCACTTGGGTGGTAGGACCATAGTCGACGAGTAATGTAGGTCGAAAGGATCATAGTTGGATAATGGTGGTCGGAAGGACCTTAGTCGAGCGACAGAGATCGAAAAGACTATAGTCGAGAGACGGCACTCAGAAGGACCATAATTGAGTGACGGTGGTCTGAAGAATCATAATCGACGGACGACGGAGGTTAGAAAGGACTGTAGTTGACGATGGAGGTTGGAATGATTATAGTCGGTAAGCGATGAAGGTCGGGAGAATTGTAGTCGACTGGCGATGGAGGTCGTACACTACAAGAAAATCACTAATTTCCGGTGGAATTTTTCGGTGGCTTTTCGGCGGCCACTTTTCCGGCGGCTTTTCGCACTTTTCCTGCTACTTTTTCCCACGGAATTTTCCGGCGGCTTTTCCAATTTTCCGGCGGTCTTTAAAAATTTTTAAAAAAAATAAACTATTTAAATGATTTAACAAATAATTATTAAAAGTTATATTAACTATTTAATTAATATTCATTTTAAAATTAATTAGTTAGTTAATTTTTATTTTATATTAAATATTATTTTTTATTTTAAATTAATTAGTTCCATTTTTTATAATTAAAAATTAATTAGTATTTTAATAAATTATGAAGTTATTAATTTATTTTAATTAAATTTTAATGATAATACTTTATTTTAATTAATTTCTATTTATTATTAATTTTAATTAAAATAATTTAGTTGAAGTAATTACTAATTTTAATTAAATATACTTTTAGTTTTTAAAATAAATATTAATTTTTTGAAAGAATATAGTTTAAATAAAAAATATTCAGCATTTTATCATATTTTGCCTTGCAGCAAAATGGTAAGAGTTTAATATGAATCACATTTTTCAGGTGGACAGAGTTCGAATCCCACCATGCGCACGGGCA